GGTTTAGGGAGAGAAACCTGAGCTGTCAGGGACACTCCTGCAAAGAAAAGGCTAAATGGAAAGTGAAAAAAGGCTGCTTTGGGTCTAGTAATGCCTCCTCTGATACAGCAAACCCAGAGAGCAAGAGGAAGTGGATGTCCTCTCCTGGACAGGCCAACCATACACAGTGGTTGTTTGCCATGAAGAGAGGGCATGCAAAGCAGATACAGCTGCTGGAGCATTCCTCTGCAATACAGGCTCAGTGATCTAAAAAGGGTTGCATTATCATTAGTATGCTAATGGTGTGGTATGTTTAGAATTGATCTTGCCAATTACTTTGACTAATACGGAAAAGGGAAGAGATTTCTGGGCCCTGCAGCTTTTGTTGGCAACATTGTTGTCCAGAAAATGAGATTCGTTACCTGGTGTGTAACAAGTCAGTAATTGCACACTTGAGAGAGACATTGATTATTTATTTCAGATTTACTCAGGCCTGGGTGCTCGGTGATTTTCCACAAATCACATGAGCCAACAGGACTTTCCACACCGTTGTTTATACTCAGAATTTCAAGGTTAGTACCTTTGCAAGTACAGTCTCTCTATTATTATTGGTTAGTAGTTTCCATACAAGTTTTGTAATCACAGCTAAGTTCTGCATATGCCAAAGGGAAGGGTCTTCACCTGATATGGGGTCTTTTTGACCTGTAGGTGTGATCTTTAGTATTATAATGAAGATAGTTCAGCTAAGGGGTGCATGGATCTTAAGATGTCTGCCAAGTTAGCAATGTATACACAGACGTACAACATCATCTTGATTTATTACATATACTAATTCCAGGATGTCCTTGACTAAGGGATGCTAACTGTTTGTTCCCCTGGCTGAGTGTCCTTTCTCACTGACTAGGAAAGTCTTCATCAGTCAGCTTAAAATAGATTTAAAAATCTCATTCGAAGACAATATTCCACACTTTGCAACAACACGTTGCATTATCATTACTCATCGGCTCGTGTCTTGCTAGTAACCCTAGAACCTCAGGAGAGAAAACCCAGTATCCACACCTGCCTTATTCAAAATAATATAAAATCTAATAACTTCAAAAGGAAAGAAAAAGGTACAGCTTGGGAAAGTAAAAGAAAAAGTAAACTAGAACCTAAGAAAAACTTAAATTGAAGAATCTGAGTGAAAAATAAAATACATTCACAGAAGACATTGTTTAAGGTTATACGGTCAAGAAAGATTTGTTCATATAAAATATTTGAAATCTTGAGGGGTTTTAATTTGAAAAGAAATTAACAGAATTAATTGGGTGAGAGGCATAAGAGAAAACATGATTTTTAGACCAAAAAATTGATTGGTCAAGCTATTTCATTTGGATTGGCACAAGGTTAAAAACATGAAAATAGAATAATGAGACAGAGATATGGATTTAGGAATAAGAAACAGGTTATGTAGGCAGTACATTGACCTGTGACTTAGGAGCTCAAAAGAGTAAGCGGGCAGAGATCCTAGTCAATGCCTTTAGAAGTCAGTAAGAGTCCTTCCACTCATGTCAGTGAGAATTAAATCCAGCTCTCAGACAAAATGAAAAAGAAAACAAAACTGAAAAAAATACATATCAAGAAAAAAAAGAAGGTAGGCAAGACAAAAGAGAGCAGATGGTGTTTCAAGTACATAATGCACTAGTAAATGAGCAGGTCTTTGCATTTGACAGACACTATTATGTTAAATTATATGCTTAAATGATAAATAATGGATTATTTTCTTGATAAGAGTAATCTCCGTAGTCTCAAGTAATTTGAGACAGTTTCTATTAACACCAGTTAAACGCACAAGGGTCTTTCTGACAAACTAGGTAGTCACATAGAATCATAAAATTGTATGTTAACAGGTTGAAATGGACCTTAAAGACCATGTAGTCCCAACCCACCCTCTGCCATTGACAGCAACACCTCCCACTAGACCAAGTTGCTCAAGGCCTCATCCAACCTGACTTTGAACACTGCCAGGACTGGGGCATCCACAAGCTCCCTGGACAACCTATTACAGTGTCTAAACCACCCTCATAGTGAAAAATTTCTTCCTAGCATATCTTAAATATTCTCTCTTTCCATTTGTACCCATCACTCCTTGTCTTATTTAATTTTTTTAGCTTTCAATCTAATTGCTGTATGAACATTTTTTCCCTTTTTCTTTTTTATTTTATATATTTTAAAATTAAGCACAGATCTAAATATAATTACAGGCTAATTATTTGATCTCCAATTTTAAATCACATTTGACCTGTATCCTCTTATCAATATTTTTTAATGAATGACCTCCCTAAATTAAAGGTATTTTCTGCAGAATTGTATATTGCCATTATAAAATTACAAAAGAAAAAAAAAAAGCCTATGAAAGTTGTTGTTGTTATAATGCATACCTTGGGACATAACTTATTCTGGACATTAATCACACCAGCCACATTACATGCTAGTTATTTGAAAGTGTTGCCAGCACACCGCTAATTCTAAGCTGCCTACAAATCAAATTTGTGTCCAGACTATAGCTGTTGATTCCCTCATGTTTAAATATAGTACAAAAATAAGAACAAAGCTCTGTGGTACACTTCCTTCCAAACCCAATAATAAATTCCTGTAGTCTGTGACATCACTTAGTGAGCAAGAAGGATGACACTCTTAGTATTTCAATGATTCATTTAAAATACTGTATAAAAAGACATATTTCACAGAAGCTAATGCATTGCTATGGCCCACTGTGTTAACTGGTGCTTCACAAAAGCAGATAGATTCAGACATCTACGTGGCAAAAGTTGCAGAATTGAGACCAGAAAACAAGACAAAACAAAATAAAAAAGAATCAGAACTTACTGATGTCAGAGGTTTCTATGGTTTCTAGACCAGTTCTAAAAAAGCTAAATATTCTCTAAAGTAAAAGAGAATTTGCAGTTACTTGGGAACTGGAAGCTGGATTATTAGATGTGTTCTTTATTTTCAACGGTAGTGTTATCTGTGAAAGAAACCTTAGCTCATTCCTCTTAAGAACATTTAAGTATCTTTTACATTCACATAATCCGATTATAAATTTTATCTTTTCTTGTGTTATTTAAGCTGACTGGTGCTTTAGTTTATTTTACCTTTTTAGTGAATACAAGACCTGCTACTGCAATTTAAGGTTTTGAGATTAAAAATGAGAAAAGAAATGAAGTTAGCTATGACGAAGTGAACTAGTTTGTGCTGCATTGCATTTTGCATATTTTGTGGGTATATGTGAATCACAGAATTGTTAGGGTTGGAAGGGACCTCTGGAGATCATCTAGTCCAATCCCTCTGCCAAGGCAGGATCACCTAGAGCAGGTTATATAGGAATGTGTCCAGGTGGGTTTTGAATGTCTCCAGAAAGGGAAACTCCACGACCTCCCTGGGCAGCTTGTTCCAGTGCTCTGCCACCTTCAATGTAAAGAAGTTCTTCCTCGTGTTCAGGTAGAACTTCTTGTGGTTTAGTTTATGGCCATTGCTCCTCATCCTGAAAGGAATCCTCTTGACACTGCCTTTGAGATATTTTTATGCATTAATGAGGTTCCTTCTCAGTCTTCTATTCTCTAGACCGCACAGGCCCAGCTTCCTGATATTGGAATATCCCACAGAATATTAAACTGTGGTAAGGGAGTATTTACATTTAAACTAGGATCAAAAAACCTGTCTGCTATATGACCAAATTATGGTTGTCAAATTTACCTTCCAGAGGCAAAGTCAATTGGTGTTGGATTATCACAAAAGAGAAATAATTTCCTCCATTTTTCTTAGCTTTTCAACAGCAAAAATAGAAGGGTAGTCAAAATAAATGAAGGAAATGTATTCTGAAACAAAATTAAGTATGCCATTTATGATTTAAAAGCTTCTAATTTTTTTTAATAGTAGCTGTGCCTCTGGTCATGTGACTTTTCAGATCTCCAAATGGAGTTACTTACGCTTGCAAATCTACATGCAGCTTGGCAGTATTTATATTTGGTCTATTTTACATGTTTATGTCTCTAATTTTATGAAGGTTTTCATTCATTAAAATACATAAATAAGAATTGCATTCATATTAAGCTATATTGAAAATTATCAGAAAGAAGACATAGGCATAAATATGCTAACTCAGGAAGTTGTGGGTTTGTGATGAAAAGAATTTTTTTTTGTTTCCCACAGAGTAGAGCTACTGATCAGCCTCCTAGCACCACAGTGAAGAGCTACCCATCCTGGCCGAGCTCAGACACCCACTACGCATATATTTAGATGAATACTCAGTTTTGTTCCAGCACATTACGGTCTGGAAAATCACTATTTTTCACTGAAAAAAAAAAAAATCTGATAGTGTTCCTTCCAAAAACTGTCTATTTATTCACAAAAGCATGATAGTTATCTCCACTTTTGAATTACAAGTGCCTTCTAGCTCTTTGCTCATCGACCGTGTAAAATAATTACTTAGAAATAACTTTTAGCACACAAAGTACCTGGGAATACCAAATTGGAATTTTATTCTCGTGATTAACTCCTAGATGAACTCATATCTCCATGTACTTAACATATACTTATTGTCTAAGTCATGGGTTACAGAACATTTCACCTGTAGACCGCATGGTCAGTCGTTCAAATTTTGCCTGATCAGAATCATCCATTGTTGTTTAGTGATTGCATGAGACTCAAGGGACATGAATACAGACAGAAATCCAAGACAAAATATGGAATTTTTATCTTCGCATTGTTATCATCTGTAGAGTCCAGAGCCACTTATCTTAAAAATTATGTCTTTGTTCATAACAGCTTGCAATTTTAAATACCTCACATGAACAGAGACAGCAGAGGTCAACTATTGCAAAAGTGCAATAGCAATATAATCTAGATCTGATGAATAAATCCCAAAGCTATCATTCTTCTGTAGAGAGCAACCGCAAAACTATGACACAGAGCTAGGGAAATTGTAACAGAGAACAGAAACAAGCCGTGCTAGAGAAACAGTTAATGCAATCCATACAAGGTAACACTATGAAAATCTCAAAGAGCTTGTGTTGTTTAAGCATTTTCTCCTCCGTTTTTGGGTGTACTATAACATCACAGATCTAAGAGATAAGGAGCAAGCTTTACTAGTAAAAGATTTAGTTCATCTGCAGGAAATAAGCATCAAAGATATTTACTCTTCCCAGATTAATTTTATTATGTAATTGTTATGTTATCTTTTCAGTCCAGAAAGGCGTGTGAAGGAAAACTCTGGATTTCAGGTTTTGTAAAGAACTTTGGAACAACCATGCAACATTCCCCTGCAGAACTCATTATTAAGTGGTTGAAGAAACTTTTTATTTGTTCTTTAGTATAGCTTTATTTTTAAACACTATCATACTGCTTTTGAAAGCACATTTCAGCCCTGAATGAAGATAAGTGCACAGACTGCATTTTATCATCCTTTCTATACTCAAATACATACAATTTCTACTTAAAAAGCTCATGACACAATATGTCAAGCTCAAGTGGCAATGAGAGACTTTTCTTTTAGTCACTCACTCTTCTCAGCTGTTATTTCTCTCTTCCAAATACCTTATTTTTATGCCAGAGAACTCTTGTCAGTAGTGCTCATTTTGCTGCCACTTTTGCTTTGTGGCTTCAGATCAGAAGAGATCCTTTAGAATCTGTCATTAGAAGAAACAAACCAACAGCAAATCCCATCTTTCTCTGTGTGTACTAAAAATATTATACAAAATGATAAAACCAGCAAATATTGAAGAGCTGAAGGAATAGAAAAGGTGCAGGAGCTTTCAGGGAAATCCTTGCTGTGCTTGCTTCTAAAACGATACGTTGGTAATGATTCAGTACAAGACCATGATTATTAAAATAAAAATTATCTTCTCAGTTATGAAACATATTTAATAGCAAAGGGATTAAAGGAAAGCAAAATTATTATCAAGAAAAACTACAAAGATGACCAAAGCATGACTCAGGCTTTAGCAACATCAGACTAACAATCAGCTACTTATTCTGACTGTTTCCCTTCAGGTGAGAGGGATGCATTTGGTCAGTGGCACATGCTTCTCTGCTCCACTGAATATTCAAAAACTCCTTTTGTGATTATTGAAATAAGTATCTGCAGTTGACTGGATTACACTATACACCCTGAATTTCTCCTGCTCCCCACCCTTCTGGTAGCTTGTTTCTGTTCTTCCAAACATCCTTGCCCATTCACATAGTCTGTTCTTGGCAATGCATGGATCTCGTATATCCTTTACTGACAGTCAGAGTTGCTCCCCTCAGAAGTACACCCGAGTGGCTCTGATTTTGAACACTTGATGTGATTGAAGGTCTTGAAAGAAACTTGCTTTTCCCAGACCATCATCCTCACTTCCAGGAAGAAGATTTTCACATAATTCTTGGACATTTTTGTGCATAGAAACTGATACTCAATAACCTTCTCTGGTTTTTGCTTAAATGATACATAAGAGCAAAAGTTTTAATTTCTTTCTCTTATTCTATAAAAAGAGACCATATGGTAAGGATAAGTAAAATAAAGAATATTCATCTGTTCAATCCTTACACACAGGGCACGTATATCTGGAAAACTGCTATAAGCTATATGCATGTAGCTCTTCCTAAATATACTACCCAGTGGAATTCAAAATCAATTTTTTTCTCTCATTTTGAACCTATAAAATATTAAGGAAGTAATAGAGTTGAAAGAGAAGTGCATCCTTCAAAGAAAAAGAGTACAGTCCTGTTATTTCTAAGTTTATGGGGCTGATATTTTTTTCTCCTTGGAGTTTTATAACAGTATGACTCAGTTAATTGGATTGAAAGCCATGGGCTGTCACAACTCAGATACAGAAATAAAGCATCACATTCATATACATTTGCAGAGACAGACAAAGGTATGCTATGAGTGTTTAAAAAAGTACTCTCAGTACTGGGAACATAATGGTCAGTGTAGAGGAACACTGAAATACAGAAGAAGCAACTGTAAAATAATTTTGTTTTCAGATCTTCCTGTGTCTAAAAATATGCGAGTTGTATAATTTTAAAGTATCTCCTTCTCCTCTCCATATTTCAGTGCAAATTTAGTTCAGAAAAGCCACCCAACACATCCAATGACATTTTTGTTCAGCTATCAGAAAAAAAATGTATTTGAGAAGAGCCTGCCTGTCTTGACACTTGCTCCTCTCCCTGGAATCTTCTGAAAATTAAAAGAAAAAAAAACACTCTGTAAGTTCAAATTACTTTCTGAGCATTGTGTGCTTATTTTGGAGAAATATTAGTTACAATATCTTTAGTCCATGTACTTGTGCCAAGATGTAATGACCCAGTTGCAGGAGATATTTCCACATTTAAGACCAAAAGGAAGAGTTGTCTAAAACACCTGAAGCAGAAATGCTATGCAAGATCAATGGAAAGCCATCTGTAATTCTGATTGTGGAACTCTAGTAATTGCATATATAATAAGGGAATTGGTGGGTAAAAGCTGTGAGAAAGTGAGTGATTTGGGATTTTCTTTCTTTGAGAGTAAATTAATATGGAGCCTGTGCTAATTTTTAGCAGTCTTCTAACTGTATACATGAAACTGAGTGATTTTTTTTTTTATTTTGGAATTCAGTCTGGGGTCCCCAAACTCCTTGCAGTGAAATGTAACCTTGCATACAATAGAAGGCAAACATAAGACTTACTGCTTAGTAAACTGATCTGACAGCAATTTGTGAGAATATTTGCCCTGACAGGTGCTACACTTGAACATACCATAAGAAATCACATGTTCACACAGGATGAAACCCACATGCTAACAGTGAAAACATTACCTACACTAGTGTGTTCTGCCTTTAGGGCCTTTTTCTTTGCATACTGAAACTAAAACTGTAGGGACATCAACAGTTATCTTTTACCACCTAAAGTACTTCAACATACATTTTACATTCAGACAATAACATACATCTTACACACACATCAAAAGGCAAGCTGTAAGAAAACTGTCTTCATGAAGATAATATTCAGTTTAAAGTTGCATTCTTAGTGTCTTACACGGTGGACTTAGAGGAACAAAATACTCCAGAATTGGTATTCAATAATGTTTATCAGTGTGAACTACGTCAGAAAATGCTGGAGTATGTTGGCTAATGGTTGTTGTGCGGTTTGATGAGGGTGAAGGAGATTTAGGAAAAGAAAGCGTGGCAGCCATATAGAAACTCCTAAGCTGAATTCTTTGAAAAACAATAGGAGAAAACACACCAGCTACTCCCTTTGGGGTTCCCATGTTCTTAAGCAATGGTGTTTATCGTCATGGTGATTTAACCTGAGATGCTTTGAGGAAGACTGAAAATGTCCTTATGGCTCGTTACCACAAGACTAATAACCCAGTAACATGGCTATGATGATTCAGATGCTTTCAGTTCTTGTTGGTACCTTAATATTAGGGGAATGAAAGTAAAGTCAGGTGTCATTGAAGAGTGAAGGAGTCAGACAGTAAAATTCTGGAACTTTTATTGGCTTAGGATCAGAGAAAGCACATGCTGAAACAATTTGAAAGGGGTCAAAAGGGCAGCCACTCTAGTAACCATGATGCAATCAAACTGCAAAAGAATAAAGTATTGATCCCTCATCGTGCTCTGATCTCAAGATAACCTTGTGATAGCTGCTGCAGATAATCTGTATGCATTTATATAGATATATAGATATATACACATATATATATGTAGAACTTTATGGGCTTTTGTATATGTTCAGGAGTATTAAAGGATCTCTGCCATCCATGAGAATCTACCAATAACTGCAGAACAAAAATGGCATTGGCAAGCTTCTCAATGGAGCTAGATTGCTGCTAAAATAAGTTAAACACAGACAAAGGATTTAGTGCATTTTATGGTACTTTCCTACAGTAGTAGTAAATTGTGTGCACCCTTCCTTCTGCTGTATTCAGCCACCATGGGAGGATTTCTGGGATTTCTGTCTGTGACGTGAATCTCCTCTTACAGTGCTTTTCAGACCTCTGAGAAGAAGTCTTTTTTCATCTACTCCATAACTTTCTTTTCTTCATCTTTAAGTTCCTGATTTGAAATTATGTAGGAGGGAACCAAAACAGTTATGTTCTTTAGTATCATGTATGAGGATGCTGAAGCAAGACTGATTCTCAGTGAGTGTTAAGTTTTTGAATATTTTGATTCTGTAAAGACCAAACCACATGATTTTTTATTGCTTTAAGTTTCTTTATAGAAGTATTGCACAGCATGGATCTATTTACTTTATAAAGTAAGTGTTTGTGTTAGGAGACAGAAG